TCAATTTAGAATTCAAATTAATTTAAGTTTGACTTAAATTCGAATTTGAATTTGAATTAAAATTAGACTACTGGATAAAGGATAAAATCTCTTCCTTCCTTATCTGATGTTGGCGCCACACACAGGGTGAAACCCTAATGTAGTGGCCGGCCACTTAAGAGATAAGGGGAAGGGATTTTCTGTTCGAAATTCAGATTGGAGATGGGAATTTGATTCTGTTTTGAAGTTTGACTTCTACTCTTTAAATATGAGAATGATAGAAAATTGTGGATACAATTTTTGAAACTTTTTTTTGCCCTAAATTGTTTGGTGGCCGAATTTCTCATGGAAAAAGAGAGCAAAAATATTTTTCTCCAAAAATTCCACATCGTGCATGCGTTGGTGTTTGTGGAAATTTGAGTGTTTCAGAAACCTGTTTTGTCTCACGTGTGCCTACACACACATCTACGTGGAATCAAGGAATTGACGTGGAAGACTTTGGTTTTCTAAACACAAAGATTGGAGCAAGGACTGTTCGTGGACAAAGAACTCAAGTTATCATCCGAGTCGGCTTCCAGGTATTTTTCCGGATTGAGCTTTTGATGTAAATTAATGCGATTAATTTATTCGTGCATAAATTAATATAATCTATAGAGTATCTCAAAAGTTTTATGAAAATTTTTGTTATACACGATCCGCCTCCCCGCTACGCTTCCGCACCCGAATTCGATTCAGGAACCAGCAGTTTCTTATACTACTCAAGGTGGTATTCTTCTTTATCAACACAAATACATTAAAGACTTACTTTAGAAGGTTGATAATTTTGAACTTGAGAAGCTTATTCATCTTCTCAATCACAGGTTTTCTCTTAAGGATCTTGGGAGGTTGTCATTCTTCTTAGGTATTGAAGTTTCTTATACTACTCAAGGTGGTCTTCTTCTTCATCAACATAAATACATTACAGACTTACTTCAGAAGGTCAACATAGCAGAAGCTAAACCACTGCCCACTCCTATGATTGGTGGCCTCAAACTCTTAACTCGGGAAGGAGATCCATTGGAAAATCCCACATTATATAGAAGTGTTGTTAGGGCACTCTAATACTTGACTGTTACTCAGCCTGATATCGCCTATAGTGTGAATAAAGTGTGTCAATTCATGCAACAGCTTTTAAAAACTCATTGGTGAGCCGTGGAAATGATCTCGCGGTACTTGCAAGGGACTACTCAGTTTGGTTTTCATTTGCCTCAGTCCTCAAATCTTTTGTTGTATGCTTATTGTGATGCTGATTGGGCTACTGATCCTGATGATCGAAAGTCCACCACCGGTTACTGCTTGTTCCTTGGAGCTTGTCCCATTTCATGAAGTTCAAAGAAGCAGCCAACCATTTCCCGATCAAGTACAGAAGCAGAGTATAGAAGTATGGCAACCACTACTTTTGAACTTGTATGGGTTCAATCCTTGTTGCATGAGTTGATAATCTTCAAACTAGACCCCCTATTGTCTGGTGTGACAATCTAAGTACAATTTCACTAAGTGCAAATCCCATTTTACACTCAAAAACGAAACACATAGAGCTTGACTTGTATTTTGTCCGTGAGAAGGTCTTGGCTAAGACACTCGCAGTACAACACATACCTGCTGTAGAACAGATTGCAGACATTCTTATCAAGCCTTACTCATATGGATTCTTCTATAAGCTCATATCCAAGCTCGGTGTTGTCTCTTCAACCATGTTGAGCTTGCAGGGGGATGTTAGGCAGTGCTAATTCTTCATTAGTTTTAATTATGTTTAACAGTGAGAATTAGTGACGAGGATTAGTTACAGATCTCTCTTCCTCTGCTGTACAGAGTTTTCCTCTCCTATATTTCTGGAGTTTGTTATTCTTTGTTGTGATGTGTAATTCTCTTCGGTTTTGTAATATTTCCTTTACTTTCTGTTATGCCACCTGGAGCCTAGCTATAGGTTAGTGATTTCTTTGTGTTGTATATAAACACTATACATGAGCTATTACAGATTAAGGCAATATACAATTATTCATATCATTTCTCCTTCAATTATTTCTCTGACTCTAATTATTGGTGTATGTTAGTCCCTTTATCCATTATGTCGTTAAACCTCATTTTCACCTCTTTTTTCACCATAAACTTTTGCAGTTAGATCACCAAAACAGGATAAGAGACTTAAATGGTGAATGAAATTTAAATTTTGAAGATGTGCGTGAAAATTTATGAATTTCTATGGATGTGATGTTCTTTTTTTGTTTTTTAGTTGATGAATAATGGTAGAAATAAATGGTTGCAATGCATCTCTAAAAAAAGCACAAAAATTACTTCACTACAGCAAATGTGGGTAAAAGAGGAACCAAAAATCCATAAAAAGGTAATTTTATGAAACTATATAAATATAACTATAACTAACCAAAAACTTTAAATGTTCATACAAAATTTTAATTTTATGAATTTTTGTTCATTAAAATTTTAAAGATTTAGAGATAATGGCCGTTAGGGTTTCCTTTTGTTGCCAAAATACCTTAAAATGACCTGCAAGTACTGTAGAACAATCTAATGGAACAAGTGAGATCAAATAATAGTGTGAGGAGCAATGAATTGGTTGATGGAGAGAGGAATCATGCACTCTTCGAGAGAACTCCATTGAGCTATCTCCAACAATAAGTCAAGATCAAACCAGAGATGAAAAGTGGTCGATGATTTCAGGAGACGAACTTTAAATGGTTTCTAAAAAAGCTCCAAAGGTAGACGAAGATGACAAAGATGGATTGTTTATAGGTTCCTTATAAAGCTAATGGTTGTGTGCTACTCGGGGTGACGCTGAAGAACACAAATTGAATCCGATGATGAAACTTTGTGCGATTACTGAAAGCGGTCTAGAAGCAGACGCTTGATGGCAAGGGTGAAGATGATCGAGTTATGGGTTTCTAGTGGTCCGTTTAGTTCACGTGTTTAAACAAACTAAACAAATTTTGATACCGAGTTCAAATTTTTTTTAAGATAACTAATTTGTGGAAATTTTTTTATTTAAATTATTATAAGAGAAAAGTACTAACAAAATTAGAATCATGATTTTAAACGTATAAGACTATGACCTCTTTGATTTTAGACTTGAAATTTGATAACGATAACGGCCTCATTTGTTTACTCGAGGGAATGAGGCTCTATTCAAGTATTTATAGGGGAAAGCTCGACTATTTTGGAGGTTGTACTAGGCCGAACAAGTTTTAGACTCTGGTCATCCAATCTCACACTCTGTTACCTTGTAAGTTTTAAGTTCTTGGAGTTTTTACATGAGGAAGCTTGAGTAATCCAAAAATAGAGTGGAGTGCAGACAAAGCCACGCAAAAAATAGCGACCACTTGTTTTCGTTTCGCTTTGTTGATGTTTTCTTTTGTAATCTTTTTTCAGTGGACAAAAAATAACCTGGTAAATTACTGGTGATTACCCGATAGATTACTCTTCAATGACCGACGCTAGAAAAGATCGTTAATAATCTAGTAGGTTACTTTTTATCATTGGGGACACTCTTGATAAAAACCCATTTCGTCTACTTTCGACTTATCCTCTTATAAATGGGAAAATCCAAAACGCAAACTGAAGTGACGAAAATCCAAAGCTGCGTTGCATTCCCCAAGCTTTTATTGGGCTTTATTATGCACTCTTAAGTAGCCCGATTGGATCGGGCTCACTAGTTGGGACAAAGCATCCGGCTCAGCCCAACAAAGCTTCCTAGTACACGTACTCGCTTTTCTCATTCTTTTCCTTTCTTTTTATTTATTTATTTTTTTGGCAATCACATGCTATCTCACTTCCACTCACTGCAGTCTCCCACTCAGTCTCCGTCAGTTTTAAGGGTTGTTTAGTACACTGATTCGAATTTTTAATTCAAATTAAAATGTAATTTTATATGAAAATTTTTTACTGTAATAATAAAATTAAATATAATTATTTTTGAGTGAAATGAACTAAACTCCCAAATACCAAATCTAGAGTGGGACCCACAAGTGCGTATCAAAAATAAAAATGAAAATAAAAAAGAAAGAAAGTGCAAAATATCAAAGAGGCACACGATGGATGAGAGTTATAAAGACAGATAAGCCACAGAGACCCATCACCTCCACCCACTACTGCAAAGCAGCGGATTATTAGGAGGACCAGAATCTCCTGTCAATACCATTATCACCCCCACCCACCCCTCATTTTTTGTACATCTCAACTAACCCATATTGGGTTTTCACCCTCTTTTTCTCTGAATCATGACAAATTAGTCCAATTCATCATCACACATTTGAACATGTAATGTCCATCTCACTAAATAAACAATAGAAGTCACATATCATTACCATCTTATCTATAATCTATCTATTAATATCATATGTCATTCTAATTTGACTAAAAAAAGGTTGTGATGATACTTAACTTTGGTCACGATGTCATTCCAATATTTGATTATTAAGGAGAGATAGTGGATGTGTTTAATTCATTAGTCTTTTTTTTTAGTTGCCAACACACATGGCACTAAAATTATATTAAATAAATTTATTTAAATCGTTGAAATTTGTTATTTTTTTATCAAATGGAGACAACAACAACAACAACGGAAAATTTTCAACGATCTAAATTCTTTTACGGGTCGTATCAACCAACCAAGTTTGATGGAAGTGTTGTTTCCAAAATTAGACGTCCATGTCTAGATTTATAATGGATGACAAAACTAAACAGGGGTTGATATAGTGAGCACATTTTCTAATTTTCTCTAATGATGATAATGACCATAGAAAGTGTCAAGAAACGTAAGAATCATAAATGCCCCAATTGTTAAAAAGGCCAAAAACCTAAAGGCAGAAAAGTTGGACTTGGAGACGCTAATTTGAGATCTTGTTCATTGGTAATTAAGAGGATGCCCCTTTCCCAACTTTCATCTTAGCTTTGGGACCAGCTTTATCAACCCCTTTTCTTAGCAAACTTATCAAAGTGAAATATACAATTACAAAAAATACTTCTCTCATCCGGGAAAATTGCTTGTGGCGTAAAACAAAGCTACAGTTTCAATCTGACAATTGCTTTCAATGCTTTTCCTCTGTCAGTGCAACATAACTGACAAAGGAAAAAAAATTATACAATGGTATAAAACTCTAAAAGAAAAAAAAAAAAACACTAAAAGTGGAAAACAGTAACAGCACCATGAAAGGAAAAGATGTTCTTTACTGTAATTCTGTTCAATTAATTTGGGTTGTTTAAAGTACAAATTAAATCCAGGTTCAAAGACCATAAAAAGGAAGAACAAAAAAAAAATCCAAATTATATATATAAAAAAAAAAAAAAAAGAATTGCTAGCATCGAAAAGATGGTTAACATATGTGCATAACTGCATAGTGCATATCCATCATATCTAGTATCAGTATCAACCATATGCGCTCTGCTTAAACCTAAGCATTTGCAGTTTAACTTTTTTTTTTATTTTTCTTTTTTCTCTTTACTTTTTCCCGGAAAATTAGCCTAGAAAATCAAAGCCTCTATACTAGCCTTCTTTGGCGTTCTACAGACGGGGCAAGAATCGAGGAAAGCTTCACAAGCCTTGCACGAACAAAGGTGCCTACAAGGAAGCAACAAAACGCACGAATTTCGAGAATTGCAGGCTTTACAAACCATCACACTCTGTTTTCCTCCTCTGGTTTCTTCTTCTCCTCTGTTTTCCATGCCAAAATCGCAACAAGACTCGGCGTCTTCGGCGCCATTGCTAGGGCAAAAAGAGGCCATTTCTCTCGCCTGCTCGAGACTGTTGTTCAACGACACAACCATGGCTTCCTTCTCTTGCGCAACTCTCTGCCATGCCTGGTTTTCGCTCTCCAATTTCCTAAGCAAATCTTCTAGTTCCATTGTTCTCTTAGCCGCTAGTGCAATTTCTTCGTCCTTGTCTCTAAGAAGGGCTAGCAATTTGGGTTCTATTTTCTTTATTAGTGTCGTCATTAGTTGCTTCCTTTGCTCTTGAAGCATCAATCTCAAACTCTCATTCTGAAATTCCAAAAAAATAATAATAAGTATGATTAGAACAGAATCCAAACCCGTTTTCGTTGAAAGAATAAAATATATTATGACGTTTCTTACATGTAATTTGATGTATTGATCGACTTCTTGCCGTTGCTTCTCGGCTTGTTCCGCTATGCGTTGGGAATAGGCCATTGATAGAGTATTGTCGTGCAAAAACTTGTCGTTTTTCTGCTGCAGATTCTGCAACTCTTGAATGAATATTTGCTGCTGATCTTGATGATGATGATGGTGGTTTTTTTGTTGAGAACCGAAAGAAAACTGGTTAAAGTTAAACGCACCGCAACCATTATTTCCAATATCCACCGTCCAATCTTGCGAACCGCACAATGGAAACCCAAGATTTTCCTGGTACAACTGCGCTTGAATAGCCATATTTTCTGAGCAACCAAACACCAGAAACTTCTCCAAAATCGTTTCAACACCTTCGATAATGCATAAACTCAAATGGGTTCTCTTGAAATCAAGAGATCAACTCCAAAAAAATCTGATATTTTTTCCCCTGAAATGTGTATTTCCGTTTCTGAACTGCCCTGTTCTGTGTACGCCAAAAATAATGCTCTGTCTGAGACAAACGTATAGAAAAACAAAGGTGGTGGACTAGGAGTCGGCGAGAGATATATATAATGGTGTGAGGGAATTAAATAATAATGAAATAAAATAATAGAGGAGTTGGAAATAATTAATAAAGTAACTTATGTATAGGGGAAAAGAGAAAAACTTGGAAAGCAGAGAGAGAGAGAATAGGGAACTACTTTTTTCTGTCTTTTACGACTATTTTTATTTATTTTTTTAAATTTTTTAATGTAGATGGTCTAGAGGGCATTAAAGAGAGATGTATGGGACGCGGTAAGCAACGACGTACACATGCAGATTTTGTGACTAAACTATCGGGTCAGAGATTTAAGAGGACGTTTGTTTTGAATTGAATAAATAAATTAGAAATTCAATTCCAAAGTGGGTGAGAGACGAGAGACCCTGTGAATGAGTCAGTTTCCGTATTTATATATTCAGAGATTCAGAGATCAGAGAGAGAGAGAGAGAGATAATCACAGATTTTGTCAGTTTGGTCATCTGGAAAGGCTGAATTATAGGATCCTCATTCCTATATCGCTTCTCTCTATTTTTAGTTTTTAGTTTTTACTTTTCTTTTTTATTCCTAACTTCAAATCACAGCACATTTTAGAGATTTAAAATTTTAATTTAAATTAAAATGTGATATTTTTTAAAATTTTTTTATTGTAATAGAAAAAATTAGATGTTATACTTTTAAGAGTTTTTAATTATAAAAAATTTAAAATTTAAATTTAAATTGATAAAATAAATGAGATTTAAAGTGATTATGATTTTGTATAACTAATTTTAAGAGTGATTAATAAAAAAGTATAACTAATTTTAAGAGTGTTCTTTCTCATGAAAAGAAACTAATTTTATGAGTGATTAACAAAAAATAATAATGTTATTATGCGTTATTTTATATATTTATGTACAAACTCACAATTTTGAACATTCTTTGTTTTTCATCCCTTGCATAGTAGACATAAAAATAATTAATTTTAAAATCTTTCATTTGTATTTTTATTAATTTTTCAAAAAATAAAACATCTTATGTGTTTTTTCAAATAAATAATTACACGAAATTATAATTTTAAAACTTCATGTGTTAGGATATGTCTTTAATTCAACATCAACATCAATGCATTAAGTTTACGATTATTATGGTTATTGAGATAATATCATTTCAAATATATTTATTTGGTGCATGTGGCTATGAATATGTAGAATTGATTTTAAAAGTGATTAATAAAAGATAAGAATGTCATTACAAGTTATTTTATAGATTTACATATAAATATCACTATTTATGAATATTTCTTTTTTCATTCACTGCATAGATACGTATGTAATTAACTCTCTTTTAAAAAATGATTAGGACACTTTTGATTTTGGGGAACTTTCTTATGTGTATCCCGCGGAATTTATATTATCAATTAATAGATAATTAGGTGGTAAGGTGACTCCTGCAATTTCGCTTTTGGTAATAACTTATTATTATTATTATTATTATTATTATTATTATTACCAATTTTGCTGTATAGAAATCTTTCTACGTGTGGGGCAGATATGTGAGTCTAAACTTACCAAACGTTCTTTGAAAAATATAAGGTATATTTCTAGAAAAAAGAAAGGAAAATATATATGAATGTTAAAGGGGACCAAGGAAAGAAACTTGCCTAAACTCGTGGTATATCTACTCTAATATTTTATTGGTTGTGATAAAAAAAGTCCAACTACGCTTGCCATGCAATCACGCATTTATTTACTATATATTTTTGCTAATCTGTTGTGAATTTGTTCATACCAAAAATTACACTAGAGATTTTAAGGTCTCGTTTATTTTGCGGATTCGAGTTGAGATGTGATATTTTGTGAGAACTTTTTACTGTAGCATAAAAAGTTAGATGTGACATTTTCTAAGAACATTTTACTGTGAAAACATAGAACTGAAAACTTAAATCAGTAAAATGAATAAGGCAAATTTTAACTTTCCAATTCTTAAATGCTCCTTGTGAAGAAAGCAACACGCTCCTATTGTGGTATCCCAAGGATAAGCAAAAAGATTTACGTTGCATTAAATATTTCACCAAAGGGTTGATAATTGTATAGGAATATGAATATTGAATATATATATATATATAGATATATATATATATATATATAGCCTAGGCTATAAATAAGGCTAAACTAGTGGAGGCTTCTTTGAGATTCCACAATTAACAAATTCTTGGTTCTCTACAAAGAATGTAAAGAGAGGCAGATTAAGACTGCATTAGTGCTTCATTATTATCACTCCCATGATCACACGTTTTCATCATCACCTTTCACAAATACTATTGTCTCTTCTTAGGGTGATTTTGATTATTCAGAAACCTCCTAGTGGTTTCTCGCAAACACGAGAACCTTCTAAGCAGCCTTCAAAAATAACGTTTTTGGCAATGATGACAAAAACCCTAATTTGACTAGATAAAGACTCAAATCTATATATTTATATATCTATCTATATTCTAAAAGGTAGAAAAATGGCAGAAAAGTGGTGAAGCGCATAAGTGGCGCAATTCTAGATTAAACATTTCGCGGGACAATTCATAGTTGTATTGTTGTTGTTGTAGTGTGTAGGCCATGTCATGTATTTGTTTTGTTGCTTGTTTTTCTTCCCCTATCCTTATCTCTTTTTACGCTCTTGAATTTTGAAACTCCTACCTAGGAAAAAGGATATTTATATAGATATATATACATACATATATATATATATATATATATCTGGCCCTTGCACATGCAAATATAGGACATTAACTTAACCGACACCACGCCAATTCTCTTGGGACAGCAACATGGACGGTTTCCATAGCATCATCCCAAATCACGGAAAAGAAAAATTATTCCCATTCTCAATATATCATCGTCATCATCATCATCGACTTATAAACTAAGCTAGAAGAATTCAACGGTTCGCCACCACAAAAGTCCATGGAACACAATAACTAAAAATAAAAAACATTATTGCAATCCTATTTCCCATTTCTCATTTCCCTATGCCATTGAAAAGCATCATCCGTTCATTTCTGAGAGAATTTTGATTATAATGAATATAACAATATCTTATAATATTAATAGGACGCAATCTTAAATTGATAGTTTTTGTTTTTTATCAAATTTCTCAAATCATCACGATTTTCTTAATCCAATATAGCCTTATTGTTGATCGATAATTTTAAATTGTTATACTACTAGGGTGTTCTTTTTAATTGTTTCAGAGAGTTTCTCCCGTAGTCTGCCTTATCAGCAGTCTCGATTTTTAACTATTAGATTTGATTAAAATCACATCAGATTGTAAAAGTATGCAAAATAAACAAATTATGATATAGATATAACGGCTAAATGTAAGAGAGTACCAATAATCCATTTTTACATAGACTATCAAAAAAATCCCTTATTTCATATTCTACCATAGAATTCTCTCATTTTTCTATGTAAATTGTGAAATAGTTTTGTCAATATTTTTCTTATTTCTTTGTTTGTTTTTAATATTGGGGTGTAAAAACTAAAAACATGCTTAGGGATTGTGATTAATCACAGAATGAAGGTGGGAAGCCTATGGTATTGGTGGTGGACCCATGTGTAACACTTTAAATCTATAATATGCAGAGATTTTAGAACATTATGATTCTCATAGAATTACAATTACAAACGTATCTTGACTCATTATTTTGATTTGAAGAAGATCACTTATACAAGAAGTTTGAAGGAGAAGTAGAATCTAAGTGGCTGTTTGGAACCCATTTTAAAAATGTTTTTCATATTTTTCGAGGATAAAAAATAAAAATGCTCTGAAGATTGTATTTGACACTGCATAGTATGAAAAACAAAAATGAAAACGTTTTCTGCTTTCTCCTAAAATTTTAGAAATTCTGAAAATGATTTGAAATCGTTTTCTTTTTACCATTTTTTTTTTCCGGTCTTATTCCCACGTTGCAATATGCGACGTAAGGTGCAGGTGAGAGATGTAATAAAGATGCAAGATGAGCTCCACTCACCCATACAGCTTTGTATATCTCAGTATATTTAAAAGATGATTGTAATTAAATTTTTGCGTTTCTTTTTTTTAAGAAATCAAAAGCGAATCGTATTTGTTTTTGGTATTTATCTATTTAATATAAGAATAATATGTTAGATTATGAAGAAATATGAGATTGGTATATAAGGTAGTAATATAGGCCAAGATGTTCACTAAGCAATCTTTTTTTTTTTTTACTAATCATTCACTAAGTAATCTTATTTGTAATTATTTACTAATTATTTGTAATGTACTTAAAAAAACTGATTTATAGTTGACATGCTTAGGAGAAGTATTTTATTGTTAATACTAATTATTATGTTTTTATATATAAATTAACTAATAATATGTGTGTATGGAATTGGTATCATAATTATTTATTATTAGACAACTATAAAATATTTACATATAGCATATTAATGGACTATTATTTTATTATGTAGGCCACATAATTCTCACACCATGTGCTGCCAACCCACCACAACCCACGAGCCATTTCTCTGCTTGGGGTGGCTCCTTCTGCACCCAATGGTGCAATCCATGTGAACCCATTGCTCCCATCATTTGACTAATGTTATAGCCCTTTTTCAATTTGTTTCATTTTTCATTTATTACTACTATTATTATTGAATTATTTGTTATTATCTCTCCTCCTATCTTTCTTTCAAAAAGGCGCTTATTAATGCCGTGAGGTGCCACATAAATCCAAAGCCCCATTTTCTCATCATTCGATGCAAAGTCTTTCTGCAACTTCCCAACTGCTTCCCTTTGTTTTTATAGCTTTAGGCAAAGTGACATGGACGCACTGCAATACTGATCAATCCTCATCCTTTTTTTTTTTTTTTTTTTTTTTTTTTTTTTTTTTTTTTTTTTAGTCCCACATCGCATAATAATAGAGCTAAACATGAAAAGGCATTGGTGTTGGAAAAACACCACGTTAGTGACAAAAACCACAGTGTGACAGTGAGAGAAAACGCA